ACAGAGGCAGAGGACCAGTCTCTGCAAAACAACTTGAGTCACGATCTACCTGGGGTGGGCTGAGATCCAGAGAACTGCTTGTAGGGGATGGAACGGGGAACAGGTAGCCCCCACCTAAACTCAAGTTAGGTGTGGAGTCCTTTTCCCTGGTTGACCAGGGGTTTTGGAGGCTGATGGGCTTCTCCTTCTCATACTATCTTGTATCTTGCAGCATCTTCTCAGCCTTTCTCTTGCCTCAGGGTTCCCGTCTCCCATACAAGAAAAAACAAACCTCTGAGTGCCAGAGATCAACCCATTTTCTCAAAGCCATGTAAGTTGCAAGCCAGAATTTGAACCTATGTTATATTGCCTGACTTAAAGGCTTTAGAGGGTCTTGGCTTGAGAATCCAGGGGTCCCTTTGGTTTTAAATAGCTATCCTATTTTTATTTATCAAACAGTGAATGCTTTTCCAAACACTCTTTCATCTCAATTATCTCATCTTCTCAACAACCCTATGAGTTTGCTAAGTCAGAGATAAATGGCCCATTTTATAGATGTAGGCCACGAGAGGACAGCGAGAGCAAGTGATTTTTTCCCTCAGGTCCAGGAGGGCATCACACAGCATATAAGTCCCAGAACTGGGCTTTTAACCCTGGGCCTTCTGAATCCTTGTCAGGACTCTACCTCCAAACCATTGACTTATCCACAACAGGACCTTCCAGAGGACCTCTGAGGGGTCTTCTCATTTGTTAGGAAAGTCATTAGAATCAGGCACTTTGTTGTGGACCAAGGGGCCACATCATAATTCTAGTCTCTATCAGGCAACTCCTAAATGTGGACCTGGTCCCCAGGAAGGATCTATGTTTAACTGCAAGCCTTGCTGTTCCCCAGCCCCCATATACCAACAGGTGAAGAAATACTCATAAGCTTAGCTATTGTCAGTCTTGCTGTTTCCTGTGTGTTTGAAGCTGTGCTGAGCATGCATGTTCTCATTGAATTCTGGTCACAACCTTAGACTTTAGGCTTCATTGTCCACTGTTTATGGATGCAGAAACTGGTGCTCAGGAAGGTTAAGCCACATGCCCAAGGTCACACAGTCATGGAGACAGAATGCCAACAAGAGACTGCCTGACTTAAAAGTATCTGATTTGAACCACACTGATGCTCTCTTTGCTCCCATAGAATGCAGAATGGAGCCGGGCTCGGTGGCTCAGCCTGTAATCCCGTGCCTTTGGGAGGCTGAGGTGAGTGGATTGTCTGAGCCCGCGGGTTCGAGACCCGCCTGGGCAACTTGGCGAGACCTCATCTCTACACTAAAATTAAAAAATTAGCTGGGCGTGGTAGCGCACACCTGTAGTTCTAGCTACTTGGAAGGCTGAGGCGGAAGGATCGCCAGAGCCCAGCAGGTCGAGGCTGCGGTAGCCGGGAGTGGCCACTGCCCTCCAGTCTGGGTGACAGAGTGAGACTCCAAATCAAAAAAAAAAAAAAAAAAAAATGCAGAATGGTAGCTCAGAGAGGCATCCAGGAGTGGATTCTTTTGCCCTTGGATGTGTGTTTCTTCCTTCATTGAGGTTGTGGCTGGATCAATTTCTTGGCACTGGAAAAAACAGACTCTGAGGACTAGCCTTGCATTAAGGGCTTGGAAAGAGTTGGCCCCTGGAAAGTGACCCAGCGTCCCTGACATTTTCTCCCATTGCCCAGTTTCTCAGCAGGGTGATCTTGCAGGAGGGAGTGGCTAGGCTGCTGGCAAGAGAGAAGCCCCGGTGACTTCCTTGGTCTGAAACTGAGCCCCTGCTGAAAATGAACATTTTGGCTATTTTCTTTTCTTCCTGTTCAGCTTGGGCTCCCTGAATCTCTTGCCCCTGAATCAGAGTCCACCCACCTGGCCTGCCCTCCCAAGAGCACTGGTTTTGGAGAATGTGGCCAGGTGGGGACTCACACCTGCCACTTTGCTCCCCTAAGTGCCACACCAGCAAGGATCAGGCACACAGTTTCTCCACCCCCAACAAATCTCAGCACCTTCCCTGTGCCAAACAGCATACAGGAACTAGGGAGATTGCAGGGAACAAACCATGCTGGCCCCACCCACATGGGACTTGCAGCTTAGAGGAGGAGCGGGACAGGATGAAACAGGATAATGGCATAAACAGTGACTGGTGAGGGTGGGGATATGGGGTGAAGTGGGGGTGCTATTGAAGCCAGGTTTCTGAGGAGGTTATGTCTGAGGAGACACCTGATTGAGGAGGAGGCAGTTGTATCAGTTATCTGTGGTCATGTAACAAACCCCCAAACTTAGTGGCATGCTACATCCATTTGACTTCTTATGAGTCTGTGGTTGGCCTGGGTGTTTCCTCTGCCCATTTCTCCTGGTCACAACTGCAGCTACATTCAGTTGGAGGTACAGTTGGGCTGGAAGGTCCAAGAGGGTGTCACTCACACATTTGGTGGTAGGTGCTGGCAGTTAGTTGGGGCACCTCAGCTCCCTGTTGCATGACCTCTCACTCTCTGGTTGGCTAGTCTGGTTGCCTTATGTGGCAGTCCAGAAGCAGCATTCCAAGAGGGGAAAGGCAGAAACCTGCAAGGCCTCTTGAGGCCTATGTCCCCAAATTCATAAAAGGTCACTTCTGCCACATTCTGTTGTCTAAGAAAGTCATGTGGCCAACCCAGATTCAAGGACTGGGGGGAAGAGATGCCGCTTCTTGATGGGGGGAGTAGCAAAGTATTTGTGGCCATCTTTAATTTGCCACATCATCCACATGAAGATCTTTGGGAAGAGTGTTCTAGACAGACAAACAGCAAGTGCAAAGTCCTTGCAATACAACGGAGTCCAGAGACCTGAGACGTGATCAATGGCATCCTTCACTTCCTTGTTTCCTCTTCTGCAAATTGGAAACTAAAGATGCCTCCCTGCCTCCTTTACAAGCATAGGATGTAAGATGCTTTGCCTTCAGGGTGGGATTCTAACAGGGTCTTGAGGGTACATAGGATTCGGCTGAAGGAAGGGGAACTGCTGATAGAAGTGCGAGGGGCTGTGAAATTTAGCAGCTCAATGGGATAAATGTTTGCTGAAGCCCTACTCTATACCACATGAACAGGACAGACAGACAGAGGCACAGTGGGGACCCAGAGGAGGCACCACCCTGGCCTAGAAAGCCAGAAAGTCTTCCCAGAGGAAGTGACAATGCTTCCAAGGCCTGACAGATGTGTCAAGTCAAGCACAGTGGGGCACTGGAAGGAGCAAAAGATGCCAAAAGGTTCCCAGTGGAAGAAACAATATCTGCAAAGGTCAGAGGGGAGGGAGGGCTTGGAATTCTCAAGCAAAGGCAGAGTTGTGTCTAAAGCAGAGATTCATGTGGAAGAGAGGGGAGGGATAAGCTCAGAACAAAAATGGGTTTTGTATGCTAACTGAAGGCTTCCTCCTTCTTCCTGAAGGCAAGTTTATGTAGGATTGCCAGATTTCACAAAGAAAAATACAGGTTGTCTTGTTAAATTTGAACTTCCAATAAACAATTTTTTAAATAAAATTTTTTTTTAGCACAAGTATGTGCATGAGATACCTAGGACATTCTTATGCTAAGACATTACTCATTGTTTACCTAAAATTCATTGGGTTTTTTTGTTTTGTTTGAGATGAGATCTCACTCTGTTGCCCAGGCTGGAGTGCAGTGGCACAATCACAGTTCACTGCAGCCTCAAACTCCTGGGCTCAAGCAATCCTCCCACTACCATGTCTGGCTTGAAATTCAGTTTTAGCTGGGCCTCCTGTATTTTCTCTGGTGACTCTATGTGTGAGATCACAGAAGTGTTTTAAGCAGGGAGACAACAAGGTTGGATTTATGGTTTGGGAAGCTCCCAGGATTTGTGAGAAAATAGACTGGAGGGAGACTAGAAAGGGGCGAGAAATGAAGTTCCTCCTATTGTCCAGGTCAGAGACGTGGAGGTCCCCACCAGGATTGGGGGCATCACATCACATCTGCCAACTTATCTTCCTCCCTCCCTGGTCAAGTGGCCTGGGAAAAACCCCAGCCCCTGGAGGGCTGCAGACCAGGTCAGTCCCCAGCTCTGGCTCTGTGAGCCTCTGTGATGGTTTGCTCCCTCTCAGTGTCCTCATCTGCCAAACGAAGAGGTTAGATGATCAGAGAGATTATTTGTAAGGGTCCTTCAGCTTCTGCCATCCTGGGGCTCTCTGCCCATCCTGTTTCTGATATCTCTCCTGGTCTGGGCCCACCATGGTGAAAAGTCTATACCTGAGATGCTTGGTTCCAAGGTCACCCTTCCATGCCCCCTCGCTCATTCTTCTCCACCCTGTCACTCTGGCCAATGAATGCATGAAGGGCTTCTATGTTTCCTCTCTCCAACCTCAGCTCCCAGGCATGGTTTGGGGACCATGCATTGTTGAGGACCTGCTATGTGCTAAGCTCAGTCCTCTGCATCACTTCTCTAATTTAATCCTCACAGCAGTTCCACAAGAAAAAAGTATCATCCCCATTTCACAGGAAAGGGAACTGAGGCTCAGTGGTCCAGTTGCTGCCCCAGTCACACGGCTGCGAAGGGCAAACCTGGAGTGGAGTCCAGGTCATGCTGGCGCCAGGTCTCTGCCCTCCCACTGTCTCCAGGAAATGTCCCGGGAGCCCCTAATCCCCCATTTATTCAGCACTTGGGCTCAGTCAGCAGTCTTCTTGTCCAACGGCAGGCATGTGCTGCTCCGGCTCTTTCTGAGTTAAGCCAGGGACTAAAATGGGTCGGCATAATGCTCATCTGCTAGGGGTTTTATGGTTTATGAATCCCTTTCCCATCTGTGCCCTCCCCATGACCCCATGGGGACTCTGCACGGCCTGTCCAGCTCTCGGAGCCTGCAGCTTTGCCGCAGCGAAGGCCGCATTAAATATTAACAGGGCAGCTCTTGGCCCCGCTGTGACGTCAATCACTGGGCCATTTGGTGAGGGCTGCGGCTGCCGTTCCAAGGTGAAGTGGTGACTGGAATTCAGCTGTCTCGAATGGCGTCCCACGAGGCTGGCTGTCAGTACTCGGAGAAGTTGCTGCTAATGTAAGGCATGGCAGGAGTCCAAGATTTTCCTCTGATCTCTCTGGCTCCCTTGGGGCCTGGTAGCATCCTGATACTGGCACAATGCATTCAGTCATTTGGCAAGTATTTATTGAGCACCTGCTGTATGCCAAGCAGGTGATACAGCTGTGGGCGTGACAAGATCTTGACATCATGGAGCTCCCTGTGTGGTGGAGAAGAGGGAGAAACCCAGCACTGTAGGCTGGGGCAGGTGCCCACCTCAGCCTGAGGCCAAGGGATCCTTCCATGGGAAGCCAGGCTGATGCTGAAACTGCAAGAAGGAGCCCATGCTGGATAGGGAGACAAGAGAGCCAAATGTTTTGGGCATAGGAAATATGTTCCGAGCTCAGATCCCAGTTCCTAGTCATTTATCTGCATATTAGGTCCCCACCTCACAAGCTTGCTGTGAGGACCAGATAAAGCCATTGCTAACAACAGCACAGGGCTGGCTACACAGTGAGAGCTCAGGGGTAGCTGTCATGAAAACAGCTCTGTGCCTTTATGTGATTCCTTTGCCTGCCAGGAATTCTTACTCCCATATAGTAGGCAGAGAAACTGAGGCTCAGAGAGTTAACCTGGCATGCACAGGTTTATCTTATGGACTAGACCCCAAGTTGGACATGTGCCCCTAGGCTCTGACTTGGGCTTCTTGCTACACGCCAGTCACAGGCAACCCAAGCAGTTACTTCAGCTCAGTGAGACACAATCCTACTAGTGATCCCAGCAGGATTTCCTCCCTCTGCTGCATTTCCCAGGGAAGTCTCAGCCTTCTTTGAAGTGAGGCCACAGCAGTCTGGAGATAAGACCAGGGCTGAGCTTTAGCAGGCCTGGGCATAGACTTCATTTTGCTTCTAACCTGCTGTGAGACTGTGGGTGAATTGCTTTCTCTTTCTTAGCCTCGGTTCCCACAGGGCCAGTTGAATGACCAGCTGTCATTTCCTGGGTCTGTGATCCTCCCAACAGTGCTATGGCTGGCAAATAAACTATCTTTAATTCCATATTAAAGATGATTAACCTAGCTGGGCTCGGTGGCTCAGCCTGTAATCCCGCACCTTTGGGAGGCTAAGATGAGTGAGTTGCCCGAGCCCGCGGGTTCTAGACCTGCCTGGGCAGCAAGACCTCATCTCTACAATAAATCAAAAAATCAGCTGGGTGTCGTAGCACGCGCCTGTAATTCTGGCTACTTGGAAGGCTGAGGCGGAAGGATTGCCGGAGCCCAGGAGGCGAGGCTGCAGTGGCCAGAAGCGTCCACTGCACTCCAGTCTGGGTGACCGAGTGAGACGCCAACTCAAAAAAAAAAAAAAAAAAAAGATGCTTAACCAGAAGTTTGAGAGGGGCAAAGTGACATGCACAAGGCCACATAATTAGCAAGGGGATGGCCAGGATTTGGAGCCTGGCCCGTCTGCTGACAGAGCTGGCCATTAGTCTACCACGCTGTGTGCCTCCTGGAGTAAGAAAGCCAAATGAAATTGTCTCCAATATTTTTACCATGGGTTTGTGATTCTATGAGTTCTTCACTGCCCTAGGCCTTCAGGGTCAGTGACTTCCTGGGGAAGGCATTCCAAGGTGGGCTGATTCTCTGACTGTCCCCATTTAAAGGAGGTAACAGCCTGGCATGGTGGCTCACACCTATAATCCCGGCACTTTAGGAGGCAGTAGAGAGAAAATTACCTGAGCCCAGGAATTTGAGATCAGCCTGGGCAACTTGGTGAGATCTCATCTCTACGAAAAAAAAAAAAAAAATTAGCTAGGTGTGGTGTTGCATGCCTGGGGTTTCATCTACTTGGAAGGCTGAAGTGGAAGAATCATCTGAGCCCAGCATGTTGAGACTACAGTGACTGTGAGCGTACCACTGCACTCCAGCCTGGGTGACAGAGTAAGACTCCAAATCAAAAATAAAATAAAATAAAATAAAGGAGGTAACAGCACCCAGTCCCTCCCTCAGTCACAGCCTCATTCTTCCTGGCAAGGTCTAGTGAGGCCCAACATGCCCATTTTATGGAAGAGGAAACAGAAGCTCAGAGAGGAAACAGAAGTTCCTGATCCCAGGAGGTCTAGTGGCATATGCCTGTAGTCCCAGCTACTTGGGAGGTTGAGTTGGAAGGATCCCAGAAGGTCTAGAGAAGATAGCAACATGTCCACTTTATGGAAGAGGAAACAGAAGCTCAGAGAGGTGTAGCAACTTGCCCAGGTTTCCAGCTATGTAGAAGAGCTGAGATTTAAGACCAGGCCTGGTAACTCCCAATCTTGTACTCTGATTTTTTTTTTTTAAGTCAGGGTCTCACTGTGTCACCCAGGCTGAAGTGCAGTGGCACCATCATGGCTTACTGGAGCCTTGACCTCCTAGGATCAGATGATCCATCTCAGCCTCCCAAGTAGTTGGGACTACAGGCATGCGCCACTACACTCAGCTAATTTTTTTGATTTTTATTTATTTATTTTTTTGTAGAAATGACATCTTGCTACAAGCTGGCCCAATTCAACCTGGGCACCCTCCTCTTCCTTTCAGCTTCCTCCGAGCTCTTGCAGTCTTGCTTTCCTCTACCTTGCTCCCTTCTTTTTCTTATCTCTCACTCAGCTGTCATTTAATCAGTTAGCTGTCAGCTTTTTCCTCTCTTGGGGAGGGGATGGAGAAGAAAGACCTTGGCCACTCACAAAGAGGGCTCTAGTGGTGGAATGTTCGTAATTTGCAGAAGGTATAATAGTATTCAATTCAGCATTCAGGCTGGGTGCAGTGACTCATGCCTGTAATCCCAGCACTTTCAGAGCCTGAGGTGGGAGGACTGCTTAAGCCCAGGAGTTCAAGACCTGCCTAGGCAACATAGCAAGACCTCATTTCTACAAAAAAAAAAAAAATCAAAAAAATTAGCTGAGTGTAGTGGCGCATGCCTGTAGTCCCAACTACTTGGGAGGCTGAGATGGATCATCTGATCCTAGGAGGTCAAGGCTCCAGTAAGCCATGATGGTGCCACTGCACTTCAGCCTGGGTGACAAAGTGAGACCCTGACTTAAAAAAAAAAAATCAGCATTTGTGGAGTGGTGCCTGGATTCAGGACACTCAGCTGGGTCTCAGAGGATGAATTGAAACATAGGCTCTATCCTCTGGAGCTTATATTCCACAAGGGAAATGGCAGCTTCCTAAGGAGGTGGGAAGCAGGTGGTATTAAGTGACAAAGAGCATGAACTTTATAGTCAGAAAGACCTGGGTTCAAATTTTTTTTTTTTTTAGTTGGAATCTCACTTTGTTACCCGGGCAGGAATACAGTGGCATGCTCATGGCCACTGCAGCCTTGACCTGCTGGGTACAGGCAATCTTTCTGCCTCAGCCTTCCAAGTAGCTGAAACCACAGGTGCATGCCACCATGCCTAGCTAATTTTTGATATATTGTAGAGACAAGGTCTCACCAAGTTGCCCAGGCTGGTCTTGAACCCGTGGGCTCAGGCAATCCTCTACCTTGGCCTCCCAAAGTGCTGGGATTACAGGCTTGAGCCACTGCGCCCGGCCTTGGGTTCAGATCTTAACTTTTCTATCTGCTGTATGATCTTGAGTAAGATCATGTAAGACGACTCTCTGAGCTTCTGTTTCCCCATCTGTTTAATGGGTATAAGTGAAATAGTTGCCCTGAGGATTGAATGAGATCACATATTACATTAAATGGTACAGCACAGTGTTTAATACCCAGAAGTTGTCTAGTAAACATCAGTCCTACCTATGTCACTCTAAGCAGATAGCAGATACCAGAGTAGGCAGAATGTAAGAATATTCTTTTTTTTTTTTTTTTGAGGTGAAGTCTCACTCTGTTGCCCAGGCTGGAGTGCAGTGGCATACTCACAGCCACACCAGCGTTGACCTGCTGGGTTCTAGCAATCCTTTCATCTCAGTCTTCCAAGTAGTCAGAACTACAGGAGTGTGCTACCATGCCCGGCTAATTTTTTATGTATTGTAGAGACAAAGTCTCGCCAAGTTGCCTGGGCTGGTCTTGAACCTGTGGGCTCAGGCAATCTATCCACCTCAGCCTCCCAAAGTGCTGGGATTACAGGCCGAACCACCGAGCCTGGCTGAGTATTTCCTGTTGAAGAAACTGGAAGGACTCTTTAGAGGAGGTAAGGGTTCAACAAGATATTAAAGGATTTAAGAAACAGAGAGTGGAATGGAGGGATGGAAAAGAACATTCTAGAAACTTATGACCAGAACCTTGTGGGCCTAGGATATCCAGAGAGTAGGTGAAAGATGGGCAAGGGTCAGGTTATGAAGGGCCAGGTGGAGGAGCCTTTAAAAGGGACAGGCGGGCTCGGTGGCTCAGCCTGTAATCCCGCGCCTTTGGGAGGCTGAGGTGAGTGGATTGCCTGAGCCCGTGGGTTCGAGACCCGCCTGGGCAGCGAGACCTCATCTCTACAATAAATCAAAAAATCAGCCAGGCATGGTAGCGCATACCTGTAATTCCAGCTACTTGGAAGGCTGAGGCGGAAGGATCACCGGAGCCCAGCAGGCGAGGCTGCGGTGGCCGGGAGCGGCCACTGCACTCCAGTCTGGGTGACTGAGTGAGACTCCAACTCAAAAAAAAATAAAAAATAAAAAAATAAAATAAAAGGGACAGGGTCCCACTCACAACTCCAGGAGCAGCTCAGTGTTGTGTCTGCAGAGACCAGCCAGCCTCCTGGAGTCAGCCTTCTCATGTGGCCTTGGTCCTCTCAGATCCCTTTGTTTCCTGAGTTGGGGCCAGCCTGCCACCATTGTTTAGAAGAAGACAGAAGGTGCTAACAATCTGCTTGCCTCCTACTAACATACTGGGGAGGAAAATATGTTCTTTTTTTTTTTTTTAAGCAGAGTTGCCTGGCAGAAAACTGTAGTGAAAACTCAGCGACCTTCTCCCTAACTTCCTAGGTATGGGTTAAGAAGTAGTTGATGACAGTTATGCTCACAGCTCAACAACTAAAAGAATGTTCTCAAGTTCTCAGAGGGTCAGGGGCAGCAGTGGGTAGAATGGTAGAGATGAAGCAAGTTTGGATCCTGTTTCCTGTCCCCTGCTCTCTGTGCTGCAGTTAGGTAAGACATTTAACCTCCCTGGGACTCAGTTTCTTCATCTGTAAAGTCAAAATCAATCATACTGATCTTGCCTTAATCAAAAAGGAGCATACTGGGGGAAACTGTTGCCTATGGCCTGCTATGGAGTAGGATTTTGCTATCTTCTTCACTCTGTGTCTTGACATGGTCTAAACGCTTGTCTGTTGAAGCATCCCTGTTTTGACCTCTTGAGTTGTTATTCCATTATCTGCTAAGATAAGAAATCCAAGGCTCAGAGGTAAAGTAACAGCATTCTTCAGCTTTCTTGGAGCATGGCAGCCTCTCCCACCTGGGCTCACCCAGTGGGAACCATGCAGAAACTTGAGGCAATTATCCAGATGGTTCAAGCCAAAGGATCTAGAAAATTCTTACTAAGAAACACAAGCTTCCTGACCATCTGCAAAACTGAAGCAAAAGTCTTTTTTGCCCTCATTTTAACTGCAATTCCATAGGTGACAGCTTTGCCTTCTCTCCCAGAGCTGCACTCCTCTGAAAAAGCTTGAGTGGGGTGGGTGCCATGAATGGGGCTCTGCTCTCCAGCAGCTCACAGACTGCAGCTACCAGGACACTTTTGCACTTCTTAATGCCAAAAGCTGCCTTGGGTTCCATTCTGCTGAAAGAGCTGTGAAAGGTTCTGGGTGATCCTGAAATCTGTGTGCTCAGGCTGATCTTAGGGCTGGGTTTGGTATCAGCAAAAGAATACTGGAGTTAAAGCAAAAGGCAGAAAATGGGGGTGAGTGGGAAGGCTTCAGATGACTGCAAACATTTGGCCCTTCTAGGTCTCAGTTTCCTTATCTGTGTAACGAGGACAACAACCTCGCTCCAAGTGAGGGTTTGGTGAGATAAAATATGAAGGTAAAGTGTTCACCCCCAAGCCAGACAGAGAGTAAGTGATTAATAAACAAGAGCTGCTGTTGATGCTATTGTTGGTGGTTTTTATTACCATTGGCTGCCCACCTTGGCAGCAGGCAGCCTACACTGGGGGAAAAAAAAAGTAAAATCCTATCTGGGTGACACTAATCAGTGGGCAGGCAGCTCAAGATGGTGACCATGACAACAGTGTGAACACCATCACTCCAAAACAATATCATGTCTTCTTTGTAATATGTCCCTTGGTGTCCAGACTTCTCAGGCAGTTCAGAGTGTTCCAGAGTATTTGAGAAAAAACAAACAAACAAAAAACAGGACATGCCTTTTCTGGGTCACCTATTCACTGGGCTCCAGTGGAGGGCTCTGGCAATGCTTTGGAAATCCAGTCCTGTGTGAGGAGCAGTGGTGACCACTGGCTCAGGCTGGAATGTGGTGAGGAATTGTTATGTAGTTGTGCTGGCTGGTGCTTTCCATGTGCTGGCACCGCGACACACACATATGTTTGCTGGACCACACAACATCCCTAGAAAACAGGTGTGGTTGGTCCCTTTTCACAGGTGGTTTGCCCCAGGAAACTCAGCTAGTACACTGGTAGTGCAGGATTTGAACTCAAGACCAGACCATATTCTTTCACCCATCACACCACACACACACATCCGCAGCAAGCCGGGGAGATTTTGCTCTGTTCCCTGAGTGAGACCCTAAACTAGGTGAAGACATAGACCTAGCCCCTACACTGGGATCTGCTCAGAGCCCTGGGGCAACACAGCATGCTTGAAATGATCCATTGACCCCCTTCACTTTGCTCAGGGGCTCTCTTTGGAGTTGTTCAAGGGCTATGTTTGTTTGTTTCCTTATTTATTTGGAGACAAGGTCTCTCTCCATCACCCAGGTTGATCATAGCTCACTGCAGCCTCCAACTCTGGGCTCCAGTGATCCTCTTGCTTCAGCCTCCTGAGTAGCTAGGATCAGAGGTGAGCCCCACCACATCCAGCTAATTAAAAAAAAATTTTTTTGTGTGTGGCTATGGGGTCTCACTATGTTGCCTAGGCTGGTCTTGAACTCTTGGCCTCAAGCCATCCTCCCCCTTTGGCCTCCCAGAGCGCTGAAATTACAGGCATGCGCCACCATGTCCAGCACTAAAATCATGTTTATTGATGGGAATTAGAGCCCTGGAAAGTAGGTGACCTGACCCAGGCAGTTACCCTGGTTTTATTTAGGAGTCTCTAGGGAGTTGGCAACTCTTTCCTGAGGGCAAAGAAGATGGTTGCTGGTAAGAGTATGTAGGCTCCACGGTGAGAGGCTTGCATATGCTTTTTACAATCTGAATAATCCCTGATCCTGACAGGAGAATCACACCTTAAGCCCTTCTTAGCTAACACCACAGGGAAATGTGGGACCACCAGGCCTGGGAGTGACAGACCTGAGTTTACCTACTGTGTGATTTTGTTCAAGCCATGGAACATCTCTGAGTTAGTTTCCCCATCTGTAAAAAAGGAAAGGAAACTGTACCTACCTTACAGGGGTATACTGAGGAAAAAATATGCCCATCTATGCAAAGCAACTTGCCTGGTGCTGGGAATAGGGTAGATGGTTCCTCAAGAGTGGGCATGGATGGATGGGGTCACCCAGGATAGAGCAGAGTGACAAAAGGGCCTGGGACTACCCAACCCATCACTTCAGGGTAGGCTGGAAGACAAGTCCACACAGGAGACAAAAAAGAAGCAGCTGGAGTAACAAAGGGAGAAGCCAGGAGAGTGCAGGGTCATGAAAACTAGGAGAGATGGTCAAGGAGGGGTGAACATTTGTGCCCATCTCAGCTAAGAGGGCCAGGAAGACGAGGACTATGAAAGATGATGAGACTATGTCCTTGGCTTTGACAACAAGAGGGACTCTGGTGGCCATAGTGGAGGAGTGGGGGCAGAGCCAGAGTACATTGAGCTAAGGGCTGGATGGGAGGTAAAGAAATGGAGACGGGGAAGTTTGGTAAGAAGAAAAGTAAATCTTCGTGGGAGAACCAAAATGCCACTTATGCATGCTAAAATCAATTGTTTAGAATGCTCTGGCTTTACCCAATCTTCACTGTTTTGAAATTAACCTGGTTGGGAACAGTGGCTCACACCTGTAATCTCAACACTTTGGGAGGACACTCAGGGATTTCTTGAACCTAGGAGTTTGAGACCAGCTTAGGAAACATAGCAAGACTTCCTCGCTACAAAAAAAAAAAAAAAAAAAAACC